AAGGGGTTTGCAGAGTCGGCATCTTTGGGCATGAGATCGCTGGCGTCGACGATTTCAGCGACGAGCTTGGCCATGGCGGAGACAGACTAAAGGGAAGAAGAAGAGGCGGTGGTGATGATGAGAATGAGAAGATGAAGATATAATTTGATTTTAGAGAGAGAGGAGAGAGTTGTGTTTCGTTCGTTTGTTTGTTTGTTTGTGGCCACTCTTTGCTCTTTCTTTAAGTCAGATTGAGAGAGATTGTTGTGGGCACATTTCCTCTTTGTCACACGAACAAATGGTTATTTGATTAGCGCTAGTGGGTTAGGGTTGGGTTAAATAATGATCTTGCTACAGGTGGAACCCCATTATTATTTTACACAAATTCTCTTTTATCTTTTTAGTTTTGTTCCGGAACTTTCTATACCTACTTTTAAATTTTTTTGTGTTTGATCGCTCTAAAATTAGTCTATTACAACGTTAATGTGAGTGTTGCACGACAACAAGCCTACTAGATACAAAATTTAAGTAAAATCATTAAAATTAAACAATTAATCTAATCTTTTTTTTTCAAAAAATGATTATTTTCATGATAGGTTAAAAATTAAATTGAGTCCCTGAACTTTGAGATTTATGTCTGATATATTTTTAAACTTTAAAAGTATCCAATTTTATGTCTAATAGATACTTGAACTTGTGTATCTAACATGTTGTTACATATCCGACATATTTGAAATTAATGAATGTATTAGATATCAAATTAATTTTTTTTTATCTTATATTACAAGACCCTAAACTTTCAATTTTATATCTAATAACTCTGTGAATCCTAAAAATATTGATTAGTAAGATATCTATCAAATACAAAATTGAACGTTAGAGTAATCTATTAGAGAACTGTTAAATATAAATCTCATAGGTTAATAACTGAATTTGTAATTTAAACTAAAAGTTACTTTTTTTTAACTGAAGGCAAAAATATATATATATATATATATATAACTAAAAAAAAGTAGTCTAAAATAATAGGTTAAAAAAGAAGTTAAATAATTATATTTTAAAACATTATTATTTTTTTTTAATAAATAGTGTTAAAATAATTCATTTGACAAAATAAGAGTTGAAATCTTCGCCCAAATATTGTTTAACTAGAAATAAGGATATTCAAGGAATGATTTTAGTGTCATTCATATTAAAAAAATAATAATAAATATTTTTATTAGTGATCATATATTTTTATTTTTAAATTATTAACAATAAATTCACACAAAATCTAAGAGAAGGAAGATGCTTTAAAATAAGAACATAACTTTATATATAGAATATGGGTATATCCCGTCATCTTTTTCTTCTCTTTTTTGCTTTCTTTTTCTGCATTTTTTCCTTTGGAAAAAAAAGGTATTTCATTTTAATTAATTCAAAGAATTAGGCTGATAAGTAAATAAATATTAATTTAAGTAGTGAGATCATTAATTTATTTCCCATAAAGGTCAGCACTATTATAATTATGCTTTTGCCCAGCAGGAAAGGGAAAATTAAAAGAAAATAGGCCTTTAGAAAATATTCATTAAAGATT